TGATAATAACGCACCAAATGTTGAACCGAAGACCACCACCGATACCGACACCAACTCATGCGTGCCTTCAAGTGATTCGGTTGTTAGTAGTGTTTGTCCGACCATTAGTGACACCAAATGCACCTCAACTACCATTAGTACAATACAATGGGCGCCGTCTGTGCAGCACTCCATTAATGATGGCTCGGATCAGATCAACACTAAAGACAGGTTAACGTCTTGTGCGGAACGGATGACAAACACTAAAACTGATATTTTGTGCGAAACCGATGCTATTGTCAATTCAAACCAAACTATTGTCGATAACAACAAACAAAACATTATTGTTATTAATGACAAAACATTATCAAACGAACAGTCAGTTGATAACAATTTGACAACATTTACCTCTTCTGTCGGTGTCTTATGTAATGATAGGTCCGATAGAGCGAGGAATGAATGCTTAGATGTCTTCGACGACAACACGTGTGACAAACAGTCCAAACTATACTCAAGTCTAACCAAAAATGTGAGTCATTTTAATATCTCATAATTATTACCGAAAAATACGTTTTTGTTGACCGAAACGGTCAAAGAGGGTGTGAGAGAGTGATTGGTGTGATATATACGGCAACAGTCTGTGTGTTAATTGTATACAAAGCTGTACAACATTTAGTAAATGTGTGTAAGCGATGGCTTTTATTATTTAAATTTACGAAAAGTGTTTTTAATAAATATTGCAAACATATGAGAGACCGGATTGTAAAAAGGGTTATATATACTGTACTTATGTACAAACTTAAGATTATTATTGTAGTATCGTTTTACATGTCGATCCTTCAAATGCTAGTGTTTTTAGGGATGAAAAATTCAGTGAAATTTTACAATCAACATTTCATTTGGGCTAAATTTTTAATAAAAACTTGAAATTTTTACGTTTTTCACGTAAATTTGTTTAATGTGGTGAAATATATAATGTACACATCATTATTGATTAACGGTAAAACATTTTCCATTTAAAATGATAGCGAAATATATTTTGAGTTTTTAAATATTTTAAATTTATTAAGGATTGTTGCAAATCCTGTTATATATTCTATAAATATTTTAATTAAAGTATGAATTCTAAAATTCTATACTATAAAATAATAATGAATTTATAATAACTAAAGTATTGTGTTAAGTATTTAAATAAATTATATTTTGATAATAGTTGCATATTTAATTTAAATTACACAAATTAGTGATTTATTTAGTAAATATGTGCCATATAAATAGATATCGCTTATTAGTTATTAGCCTAAACGTTTTCTAAATTTAGCCCTAAACGTTCCCGAACTTACACCACTTACATCTCTATGTGTTTTGCATATTGATTACAAATGCATGTAATAGTCGGCAATCAATGATAGACTAAATTTGAAGGAATATGTTTTATATGACTCGATCTTGTCGTGTGAACGAGTCTACGATAAGAGGTGTGATTCTAACAATTAATTGTAATGTAATTTTGATATTCATTTCAAGTGTTTATGACTCCCAAAGTATTTTTATTACAGTATAGTTTATTTTGCTTGAATAAATTATACACTGTTTCAAACTTCTCACATGTAAAGTGAATATCATATACAATGAAATGAAGTTTAGAGGAATTGTTTTTGCAAAGTCTCTACACTTTCTAATCCAATAGTAAAATAAAAATCCCTTTTAACCAGAAATAGCACTCTTATAGCCAATGACAATAATATCGTATAAATGGTGATTGAATTGCAATTTTGTGGACACACATGAGTAGCACTGGTTAGACCCTTGAGTCCGGGACCACAAGTGTGAGCCTAGTTGTGCAGCCCTACTGTGTAGTTGAATAGTGACTTATTATCAATTATTAAGCCCTTATTTGAATTCTTAATAATATTTTCGTTTGTATTTCAGTGTGACGTGAAAGAGGACACCAAAACCAAAGTGATTAAAGTCCAGTTGCCTTCAGGTGTGAGCGAAAGACTGTCACCAAAACACCTGAATGACCCCCAAC